ATTATATCATAATAATAATAATATAATAATAATAGTATAAATCATATATGTTCATAGCAGGAATTTTGCATTAAAGATATTGTCAATGAAATCTTGTAAAACGAACCAGACGAGTATGACACCACAGACTGTTTGTTATCTGCGTGTCTATATAATATGCTATATAATTGCCAAACCCTACCTAATTTGCATATTTTTTTTAAATATCAAAACCCCTAGCCTTTATTCATTCACATACCAAAAATGAGCAAAATCCGTTGAACCTGAACTGATTAATGGCAATTCCCATTTTTGGCAAAAAATTGCCGTGGCTCGAAAGTATGTCGACTGGCGTGCTCCAAAATAGGACGTTTAATATGGGAGCATAGCAGTAACAACTATACCCAATTTCAAACATGTGGGTCAAACGGTTCCTGGAGTTATCGTTGACCGTAGTCAAATGTTGACGGACGAATGGACGGACGGACGGACGGACGGACGGACGGACGGACGACGGACGACGACCTATGGCAATAGCTCAGCTTAACGATGTCAAGTGGAGCTAAAAATCAGGAAGTTAAATAATAATAAAATATTTAATATTCAATGATTTAAAACAAGTATACAAAAGATTATACATCTATATCAGGCTAAAGCCAAACCACAAAATTTTTAAGAGTGGACTTAGTGATGACACTAAGTCTCAAGAGCATATATGCACAAACAACCTGACACAGAATATTATTTTTATCATTCTTCACTTAAATAATTACGATCATCTATTCCTTACCTTAATAAACGTTATTCCAATGACAACTCCATTTCCATAATTAGACTTATTAAAAGCATCAATTGACACTATTTCTGCATCGCCTAGAACAGTAAACACATACATATGTTAACTGCTGGACATGACCTAATAGAGATAGAAATATGGCTTGTTAACAAGGCACTACACCAATAATAAAGTGTAAATAACATAAGTATTATTATACAACAACTATAAACCTGATTAATTACGCACGAAGGGTCGTTGTCGTATCAGGAGGTACAACTTATATGTACCCGAGGTAGTTTTAGGTTGTTTAGTATTATGTTTATATTTTTATATGAGGTATGTTTAGGGTTAGGGTTAGGATTAGGGTTAGGGTACACTTCTGTAGTACAAGTCTGGTACACTTTGTGTATACATATATGTACCTCGGGTACATATATGTAGTACCTGATATGACAACGACCCCTTCAGCATTAATTACTGAATAGCACACACCTCTCTACAGACTTTTGATCACACATACATTATATATAATTCCCTAACACTTAGGTAATTATGTATAAAGTGGGCATACAAGGCTCTAGAAGAAAAATGAAATACTGCACCCAATCACTATAGTAGTATCTAAATGACTTTTTGTAGGTTTACTGGGGCACGAAGGATCGTTGTCGTATAATGGCGTATAATATGTACCCGAGGTAACTATTTAATATGGTTAGGGTTAGGGTTAGGGTGTTAGGGTTAGGGTTAGGGTTAGGGAGTAGGCGTAGGCAACATACTTGCCGACACCTCGGCTACTACATATACGACAACGACCCCTTCAGCTTTACTGGGTGTCTTATACCCCCGTACAGACTGCAAATTTTATGCTACATCAAACTATAGTCCATGCCAGGCCTAGACTAAATTTTTACAGTGTGTATAACTACTATTAATACTATTATTATTAATAATTAAGTTTAACTATTAGTATTAATAATAATAGTATTATTAATAATTAAAAGAGCCGCAGAGCGTCTGGGCTCATCTGAGGTCTGTTGCTACAG